TGAAGAAAATCCCTTATCTCTATGGGACAGTTAAATATATTCGTTTTTGGTCCTTTCTAATATTTTCCTTTTTCAACTGGTTCTACTTTTAAGTTTTTTTTCAGAGTCTCACAGGTCAAATGTCTAAAACTTCTCTAATTAGATTGGAGAGCTCAGTATAAAGCACGAAGTACAACTTTTAAGTGAGAATAATTCAAAAAGTGCATCACATTTACAGTCACTCAGATATTTTGCATTAAGTTTATTGCAAAAGCTGCTTTTTGTATGCATTAACACATATTTGAGATCTGAAACTAAACTGTATATAGATAAGAAGTTGTAATGTTTCATTAGGCCTTCTGTGACTCTATCTCAGAGTGGACAAAACCACAGATCTGTTGCGATTTTAAAATATAGATTAGTATTCTTTAGGCTTTGGGGGATGAATCCACTGACTCATTCCTGTACTTTATCGTCAGAAGTTCTTATCAAAAACCTAAAATTCCTTTTCATCATCACAAAGATGGTGATTCAGTCTCTCAATTTTTCCCTTCACCTCCTTCTCCGATTCTTGTTTTCTGCCTCCCTCCTTTTTCTAAATGAATGGCACACCTCTCAGCATGGGGTCTGAAACTTGTATCTGATCATTGTTTCCTCCCACTACCCCCCTCAGCTTTTTCTCCCTTCTCAGTGAAAAAAAAAGGAGGAGGGACACCGGGATGCCAAAAAAGCTGTTGGAGTAAAAAACAAGTGGGGAAACGGAGCTGAGGAATATGTGAATCAATCTCCAAACGAGAAGTGGTTAGTAGGACAGGTCCCAGACTGAATGTTTGTGATGAAGAGGGGGGGTTTGAAAATTTAGAGTGAAGGTTTGGAGCTCAGCATCCAGGATTTGAAGATGCGTGCGGGTGAATGGCTGTTTTGGGTCACCTGGTTCTGCACCTGTGTCCAGAGCTCCCAGAGGTGCCGGTCCCAGGTCAGAGAGCAACACGGACACCAGAACCAGAACCAGAACCAGAACCAGAACCAGAACCACAACCAG